TTTTTTTTTTTTTTTTTTTTTTTTTTTTTTTTTTTTTTTTTTTTTTTTTTCATTCAAACTCAAAGTCAAAGGAAATAATTTTCTTATGGAAACCATGTTGTAAATGATGGTTGAGTTCCCAGCTCTAGACATTAAAAAAAAACTTCTGAGCTTTTAATGGTTGTGCATTGTGGTAGTTTTGCAGTACTTAAAGATTTATAGGTGCAGTGATAAAGTGGACCCAAACAGGATTTCCTTGTTTATTGTTGTTCCTTAGATGCTGCTTGAATCCAGGGCTTCCTTTATAATACAAAACTGCTGCCTTGTAGGGGCTATATCTGTATCATTTGTGTTAATAGTGACCCTGGAGCTTTGTACTTTCCAGAACCTATGTGGGCATATGTGATTGCCTTGTAAGTTAAAGGAAGAAAAAAATTAAATCACTAACAATGAGTTTAGTATTTTCACAAGTAGCAAATACTTTGAAATTTAGTTGAGATTTATCTGCTTTATATATTCAGTCTAATTTAAATCCTCGCTTTATAAATTCAGAGCCATTATTCAGTGCTCCAAAATCCTCTACGGGTTTGAATTTAAAACATTTGGCTAGGTGGGGTTTAAAGTGGTGGTAAAACTGCTCCTTCAGGATGTTTAGTATTAAAAAAAAAACTTAGAGTGAGTGTAGCCTCTACAGCTCTATTTGTCCAAGCAGGTCTACATACTTTTAGAAAACACACTGAATTGATTTATGTTACAAAAAGTCATCAGGCCAATTTGTAAGCAGTGATACCTGCTTTAGTTTAACAATGGGCACCTTGCCTGGGGTCTGAACATTGCTACCTTGATAAGTCATTCATTTAGAATGTACCATAATTTTAATGGAATCTAACATGTGTCAACTATAAGATTAATCATTTTGTGCATTACTGAGAAATCATACTACCAGGAAGACACTGGCACATCTGACACAGACTTTTCTTGTTAGAATTATCTTATTATTATTTTTTTTAAAAAAGGCTCTTTTAAACTTACGTAGCAAATAAGAATGGATTTTTATTATGTAGTATATCCTTTTATTGCATGTATGAAAATGAAAATAGAAGTAAAATAAATTTGTTAAGATAGCTCTAAAATTTCTGGGTATTTAGAGTCTGACTTTTCTAAATCATTTTTGAACTTGGCGTTGTAGAAGTCTCCTGTTTTGTTCCTCCCTCTCCCCACCAGTCATTCAAAGTGTTGGTGATGCAGTAGTTAAGGGAATGCTCTATTATTTTGACATCCATTAAAAATTTAGTCATTTGGCCGGGCGCGGTGGCTCAAGCCTGTAATCCCAGCACTTTGGGAGGCTGAGGCGGGTGGATCACGAGGTCAAGAGATCGAGACCATCCTGGTCAACATGGTGAAACCCCGTCTCTACTAAAAATACAAAAACATTAGCGGGGCATGGTGGCGCGTGCCTGTAATTCCAGCTACTCAGGAGGTTGAGGCAGGAGAATTGCCTGAACTCGGGAGGCAGAGGTTGCGGTGAGCCGAGATCGCGCCATTGTCCTCCAGCCTGGGTAACAACAGTGAAACTCCTTCTCAAAAAAAAGAAAAAAAAAATTTAGTCATTTGATGCTTGCGAAGATCTTAAGAACAATATAAGCTGTTTAATTTTTAGCCCCTCTTTATACTTCAGGGCTGCTGCATGTGGCCACATGGGTTGTGCAGTGTCATGTGTCAGTATCATAGCAAACCATAACAGACTTCATTGGCTGTGTGTTCCCCCCCCTTTCTTTCTGAGGTCCTGTAAATCACTTGGAATCATTCCTTGAATGATGAATAGTTACTTCACAATATTCCATTGCTGTATTTGCTTTTTTCTATTATATAATAAATTTAGTTTTGGTACAGAATCATATATTTTGAAGACATTTAAAGCATCAGTTTAAAAAATTGGCCTTTGTGGCCGGGCGCGGTGGCTCAAGCCTGTAATCCCAGCACTTTGGGAGGCCGAGGCGGGTGGATCAC